CTCTAGTTTGGCTTCAGGCTAAATTGCCCAGTGTGACTGGTCTCAGAATTGGACATGGCCGTCCAGGTGGACTCTGAGGCCAACGCAATCTCTTTGTGTGCTCAGATGACTGTGAATCAGAGGGTTCACGTGCAAAGTAACTGAATAATTGTTTTGTTGTTTCAGTTGCTTGACAGTGAGTCTAAAATGGGAACCACAGAAAAGGGTTCAAGATCAGTCTTCTTTGCCTGGCGGACCCTGCCGGCCTTTGGTCCTGCTGTTTTCAGTCTCCATCACAGGCAACAGCTGCAGGAAAAGCAGGCACAGCAAGTTGGGGGCCCTGCTTTTGCGTTTGGTGTCTGTCCTATTGGGACTTAAACATTTATTCACAGAGCGTAGTAACACGGCACTCTTTCACCTTCTCGATCGTATTTGAGGGCTAAGTCTGCAGCTAGGCCGCTCAGGAAACTCTGTAACCTTCTAGACACTCCCCATCTCATGCAAGCCCCTCCTGCGCTTCCTGGGCTCCCACACTAACTGTGGCGCAAATACTTCCCCCTCGCTTTAGAAGCTGGTCACAGTCCAAAAAGTGGCTCCTAGCACTGCTCGAGGAAAACCTCCCAGAAACAAGACTTTACAAACCCACCAAAGATAATCCCATGGTGAGTATTCTTTGGTTGTTTTTGCTAAAATAGATGAGATGAAATTAGTAATAAAATAGGATTGCTAAAATTATATTTTTTTGCTAAAAACTAGGAGATTCATTAGATACTATTTTTATGCTAAGCATCACACTGGGCATGTGTACATCTATCCCTTTATTATTTTCACAACAATTCATGGTACCAAACTCAACGGGTTCAGCAAAAGTGAGGAGACAGGAGATAATTCTCAAAACACCCTCTCTTGGAAGACAGGACTGAAGAGCTCTTATGTCCAGTGTCTTACACACCTGTGCAAGAGGCAGGGACGACTATGCACATTTAAGAAGGAAAAGGGTAGAACAGGCTCCCGCCATTTTTTTTAAGATGCTAATCCAACAAGAAATCATGGACTCCAATTGATATACATTCAGTGATTATATTCAGTAATTGAGAAATCCCCAGGTTTTCATTGGCTTCCCTGTGCCTGTTCAAGTTGACTGTGACTGGGGCCAAATCCCTGAAAAACAATTTAGGACCAGAAAAATAAAATAAGGGAAGGTTCACTACACATCTTGCTACACACCCATATGCAGCTGATGGTGAAGATAGTGATGAGGTCGGGAGACTGAGTCCTCAGCCATTCTGGGCATGCTGCGCTTAAGGAGTGCGCTTGTCTACCTAGCTGGTCTCATAAGTACTCTCCATAAGATAAAACAGAAGTTACAAATAAGAAAATAGATGTCCGTGGCTTTCCCAATTGATTCTGCCAACAGTGATGGATGGGCATTAGTAGCCAACCAGAAAGGGCAATGATGCTCTACCAAGTGACTCTTCTTGATGCCTGCACCAATCCCTTGGCATTTCTTTTTTCAAGTGCAAGGAGGTAATATGGTATGCTTTGACAGGGGTTAGTCTC